TAAGCTAACGCGGATAACTACGTATAGGTATGGAAGGTCTCGCAAAGGTATAACACTGCGGAGTTGTACTGATATACACACACCGTGGATTGTAAGATTGACTATCTATGGACTGGTTTGTTTCGGATGTGTTAAACTATGTGAGAGATATAATTATTAGACGACTTTCGGCTAATATGGTTTCTTAGTTCTTTATTCTGGCTCTCTTGCGAATACAATTGTGTCTCGCCTAAGATGAACCGTGTTCATATAAGCTCTGCCTGCGCGCGTCTGTGGATGTATGTAAATGTTTGTGTTTTGTGGTTTCTTAGGAGATGGCGACACTAGTATATCTCTTGCAGGATAACTTGTCTTAGGTTCGGAGTTTGTATATAATGACGTAATAGGAAAAGGTTTTAAGAGATGACAAGAGGCATCTTCTTCTGTATTACCTTTAACACGGTTAGGTTAGGTTATGCTATTAGGTTAAGTTAGGTTAAGAATGTGCTCCTAGGTATTAAGGAGAATACTCCTCAATTTTTCTTTCTTTTCCATGGTTTCCAAATTTACGTTTCTTAATTCTCGTTTCAGTTTTTCCACTTTCATTCGCATTATTCTCTCTTCTGTGAGTGTATCGATCGTTTTTCTTCTTACGCGTTTCGACTTTTCCTTTGCGCGGTCCACCACGATTTGCTAGAAAATATCGTCATCCTCTTGCATCGCCATACCACGCTCTTCGAACATTTCGTTTCTTCCAGCTTCCATTGTATAACCGGAAATCTAAGCGCTTATCGTTCTTTTCTTTTTTTTTTCGAAATTCGCCACGCAACTTTTGCAGAACAACCTTCACTGCACTTGACACTTTCGACATTTCACAATTTTTACAATAATACCCGTCGTCGATTCACTTTAACTCCAGACGAGCTGTCCCCTTTTAGGATCGTATTTGGGGAAGGATCGACTAGAATAGTATTGTCCCCCCCCCCCCCCGCCCATGGCCGCTATTTTATTAATAGTCAATCGAAGGATGCGCACCCACCACTTGCATTTCGCTCCAGACAATCAGTGGACATGCAAAACTTATAAAACCACCAAGACAGCAGTCACCAAGAGTCTCCTAAAAACCAAGAAGACAAGACAAACGTCACGACCAGAGTTCAAGATCCACGACAATCAACTCAGCGCGAGAGACAGTTACCCATCGGAACTCTTTAGTTCGACTCTAACAAGGGCTAGCTCTATTAATTTAGAGTTGGCCGCATCCCAGCAACATTATCGCATCCACGTAAACGGGCCTTGCAACCCCATGAAACTGTCACCGTGCGAGTTGCAGTGTTCGGAACGCAACAGACTTCTAAGACTGATTACTGCGACTCGCAACTGACAACGTTCATAATGACTGATATTTACTGTAAGACTTCTGATTTAAAACTGTAGAAGGTGTGGTTCCGGGGATCGATGGAACTCGGATTAAAATTAAAGAAAGTTTATTCTTCACTCATCGATCTTTTATTATGTCGAGAGTATTTTACGAACTGAGCTCAAGATACACGTGCGAAGGTCTCCCTCTGTCAATACTTCTCGCTTTATCGCGAGTACAAAGCCGCCGCCATCTGTCTGTCGGCGACCGCTTGAAACCGATTGGCGGTTTTTTTACAAAACTGATCTACTCCCACCCTTGTAGCCCTATTTAACCCCTTGCACTACTCTGAAACTCGGAAAAAGCCGTGCCAAACCCATGCGCACGAATTGTCAGCGAAGGAGCCGAACGGCGGAGCCGGAGTGTCGAAATTTGAAACACAATATCTTACGACTGACTGACTTGTGAGTGCAAGATAGCCGCGCCCGCATTTACTTCACGCGATGGAGCTCTTGTGAAATTCACATGAATTGGAGTGAAAAACTTTAAAAGAATATTTTAATTATTACATATGATTAGAACAAATTCTGTATAAATAATAATAATATGATTAATTATGTGGTAAAACGATCGAGTTTTATAAAGATTTGACTTTAAACTTGAATTATATCTTATTCTGTACAAATGCGCGGAGGCTTGAGTCTTGCGAGATTAGAGTGTTCCGTCAAATCCTTGAGCCAGGGTTTTATAAGCTCTGTGAGGACCCATTGCGTCACTCGGTCCTGCTTCTGAGACTGATAGGCTGACTGTTTCCTCGATGCAGTATAGATCTATATGTGGGGTGGCGCTGTTCAAATAAAAACTCTTCTCATAATTACTAGACTGCGAATATTTATGCAATTTACATATATAAAAAAAAACCTAAAGAATGTATTAATACAAAAATAAATTAAACGTTAACAATATTTGTTGCAATTATTGTGATATATTGTAATGTATTGTAATTCAAAATACAATAAAGCACATGCATTATTTATTTCCATACGGGATGGTGTTCTTTGACAATTTTCATCTATAAAAATTACTTTACATGACAAAATTTGTCTATATATCTTACCTTACCTTATTGAAAAGCACTTAAACAAACACTGCTTTCTCCGTACGATCTATAGCCTCTGTGTTTATTGAAGTTGTTCCAGTGTGTAAATTCAACGAATGCATGCCGATAAAGCAGAGTCCGTAATTACCTTAACGTGTGCGATGTTAATACAAATATACTTAGTCTACATTATTTAGTATCTTTTATTAAAACCTGAACACATGGCCATATAATTCGACGGAAGTAACCAACACCGAGCTATGTATTTTATTTTTAAATACAAGCTATTACGTCTAATAAATAGATGAGATATACAATTTTAAATGTGTATAATTACCACAAATTTCATACTTATGATTCGTTGCTATACAGTTACGATACAATAGTTACTTAACGAAATATACATCTTATGTATTTCATATGTTTTTTTAACATAAAACATAGAAATATATGCATTACATAAAAGAAACAGACTAAAAACGTATTTTTAGAATTCCCTAATCGTAGAACACATTTCTGTCCAGGTCCCGTTACTTTGTCTAAATATTTTCTATTAATATATACATTTCTATAAACATTCTGGGTCTACTCGTACTCGGAGTCTACTGTGACAATCATTATAGTAATAGTGACTCAAAATTAAAATATCATCGTAACTGGTGACCGCACCGTAATGTAGTGTCATCATGTATTGTCTTGTTTATCAAGTGCATACGAATGAATTGCTAGAGTGGGAAAAAGTAGGATGCGAAGTAAAGAGACACTATAAAATTTTCGCTTTAAGTAATATTCTATTCTGTTTTTCTTTCTTTTTTTCGTTTCAGGCTATGTAAGACAAGCTTATTGACCTCTATGTAGTTGATATGATACTATACGAAGTCGCTAATATTGTACTGTATTTTTGATTTTGATTTGATTCTGTATTGACTTGATTTGTGGGGAAAAATGGAAGAATACATAGTACATCTGAATATACTGGAATGGTATAGTTTTCAGATTTGCCGCTAGGCAGCATATGCCTCAAATAACTTTCTCGCTGGTGAAAGTCACGTACGAAAGCATAAGTGCACGTCGAATTAGTTGTTTATGTTGTAATGTTGACTGTTGTCAGTGGTGTTTTTTTTTATTCTTTGAATTGGTATTTGACATGTTCATTACTTTTTAATGAAAGTCGATCGCGTTTTGCATTAAGGATTCGTCTTTTTGTTACTTCTCTATTTTGTAAGAACATATTTTCGCTTTCACAAATCATTATATCTTCAAATTTTCTATGAATAGTAAGACATTGAAAATGTTACCTATATACTATATAAGACAAAAATATACAAAATTATATACAATGTTCAATTACATTTTCGTTGTAAATATGTATGTGACAAGCGTATTTGGATTACATATCCTTGAAATCATTTGATCCACATCTTCTGTAGAAGTTTCAAGTTTAAACCAAAAATATATTTATCAAATTATAATGACCGAATGGGAAAGTATCCCGGTTTCGAAGTCGCTACGAGCCTGACTGCAGATAATTTATCCTAGCAATGCATTGACGTCAATTTTGGTTATTGTTTCGTTTTTGTTCATTAGTCTTCTGTTCTATTTCTGTGCACTGTTCGAGAAGTATTTACTTTTTTCATCTATGATTCCTTTTCTTTCTTTTCTTTCTTCTACGATGATCATTATGTTTATCAATATGACGTTGTATTCCTTCTCTTTGTATTCGCACCGTAAATTATCGGTTTATTGCTATCACGTAGTGAGTAAATATGACAGTTCTTATAGTATTCCAATTCAATTTCAACTGCAAGCAATATAATTAATTTTGTCAACGACCATACCACGAAGAAAGCACTGGTTCTCGTCAGTTCAGCTTTGATTGCCGTACGCATCGGAAGTACCTCAGTCGTAGTGTACAAGCTTAAGGACCTCCCAAATCCGGTACCCTTATTAAACGAAGTCAAAGCGAAGTGAAAACCAAAAAAAAACTAGTATATTTTATTGTGCTGAACCACAATCAGTATCACGTACAAAAAATTGAAAAAAAAGAGTGTAATAGCGAAGAGGAGAATATAGAAAATGAAGAAAAAAAAGAGGCAACCATAAAATAGCACTTAACCCACTCTCCGTCCGCGTAACGATAATATCGAAAAAAGAAAGAGAAGAAAAAATAAGACATTATGAGCCAAGAGAGCCCAAAGTCGAGAGCAATATTACTGTCACAGAAATACAGATTTGGAAGAAAAGAATTCAAACCCCGAATCAAAAAATCGCAAAAGATCAACCCAATGCCCAACTTAATAGATTCTATCAAGGCAGAAGCTTCAAGAAAATCATCTGTAAATACAGCGATAAACAAAAGCAATGAAATGGAGATTGTTGAAAACTCACCACTAAAATTAGGAAAAGAAGCTCTAGAGCACAACTTGGCTTCAACCAATAAATTCGGCTTACTGGCAGAACTAGAGAATCCCGAAAAGAGTGCAGGTAGCCTACTACAATTCGTAAAAGAGAAAAATGTAAAAGAACGAAATCGAAGGGGCTACAAGACCGGTGCACTCCGAAATAAGAACGTAGAACAGTCGAAGAACACAAACAAGTCAGGAATAACAGGAATAACAAAAGAGCAAAGTGACCCAGGAAGACAGTCTCAGGGAAAAACTGACACGAGCCAAGCCATGGGCAGAGCCTTGAACAGAATAGGGCAGCAGGTTAACAGCGACGCAGCACTAGCGAAAACAAAATCCAAACCATCCCCAATAAACATCTTGCGCTAAGACCCAAGGGAAACGGCGAAACTAATCGAAGAAATACACAAGATAAAGGATTTCCACATAATACGGGTACATAATGGTAAACATATGTTATACTTAGAAAAATTAATTGATCTTTACAGGGCCAAAGCCTTCCTTCAGGAAGTTAACACTATGTTTTACACCTACATTCAAAAAACTGAGAAACCACAAACGCTATTAATAAAGGGACTGAACAACATCTACAGCAACGAAGAAATTCTAAAAGAATTACAGAAGCAAAACATTCCTGACGTTCATTTCTTAAAAGTTTCCCAATTCAAGACGAAGAACTCAATTGAAGAATGCTTCTCTTCCAATATTTCTAACACAGATATCACCAAATAGTAATGCAAATAACGTTGTCAAAATAAAATACATCCACCACCAGGTAATTAAATGGGAAAAGTTAAAAAAAAAAGAAATTACTCAGTGTCATAAATGTCAAATGATAGGTCACACGGCACGAAACTGTTCCATGGATTATCGTTGCGTCAAATGCAACGAACCCCACGAACCAGGAATGTGCAAGATTCCAAAGACAGCTGAAATAGAAAAGGAAAAAACATACTGCGTCAAATGCAAAACATACGGGCACTCCGCATCATATAGGGGATGCCCAATGTTTACCATATTAAAGGAAAGACTGAAACAAAAAATCGAAAACAACAAACAGAAAGTAGACAACAAGATTATAAAAATAGCCAAAAAAGTTGACCCAAACATTTCATTTTCATCGATAGTCAAAAATTCAAACGTCAACGAAAATGAAAATACCACTACTAAACCAAACAACGCGTTCAATAACCCCACCGAAATCCTAAGTACCATACTTAACTCGATAAACGACATAAAAAACGCTATCATATCCATGGAGCAAAGATCTAGAGAAAATGAAGAAAGATTAGATATTTTCTTTGATGCCCTTCAAATTGACTAGCCAAAAAGATAAAATGGCCTCCAGGAACGAGAATAAGCACAACGAAAATAACAGAATATCGTTAATCAGAAAATCATTAAAAATAGTAACTATTAATGTAAACTCAATTATCACAAACTAAAGGAGAGCCAGCTTAGTAAATCTCATCAAAAAAGAAAAATCAGATATTTTACTCCTATCTGAAGCAAAAATTAATAAAACACACAAAATCCAATTTGAGAACTACAACATAATTAGATCCGATAGGCCAAATGCCACGCAAGGCGGCGGGACAGCAATCTTAATAAAAATGCCAATAAAATACAACCAAATAATCTTAAACTAAACTTCGGAAAATAACGCAGTAGAATCAACAATTATACACTTGCAAATTAATAATAAAGAGAACCTATTCGTTATAGCCGCATTAGTACCCAGATAAATAACTCAGATTTTAAAAATCAACTGAATAATATATTTCAAACACTAAAACTCGAGAAATCGGAAAACTATTACATCACAGCCGGAGATCTCAACGCGAGACATACTAGCTGGAAAAATGACTCTAACAATACAAAAGGTAACTTACTAAGATCACGGATCGATAGTAACGACATTCGTTATAAAATCAGTTTATACGGCACAGAACTCCCATCTTTTCCTAGCAGCAACTAATACCTAGACTTGTGTTTAGCAAACGCAAGTATTAACATACTAAACTTGCTCCCAAATAAAACACTAGAATCGATTGAATATGACAGTGACCACAATGCTTTACTTATAGAAATAGGCTGGCAAAATCATAACTATCTAGAACTAGAAATGCAGAAAACCGATGAAAAACTTAACTATAAAAAAACAAACTGGGAAGGGTTGCAAGATGAACTTTCCAAGAATTGCGAATTGAGTATTCATAATAACATTAATTCATCGATCAACGAAATAGATAATTTCTTAGACAAAATAGACTTCCATGTTCTAAACGCAATAAACAAAATCATGCCCAAAATAACGTAAGAAAACTCATGCGAAGCTTATATTAACGAAAAAATAATAAAAATGCAGAAAAGGAAAAGCTATATATTAACATGAACTAACAAAATCCGCCGCAACTACACCCACGAAGAACGTTACGAATTAAAATACCTAAAATGCCTATTAAACTGCATTAAAGTACAGTTAAAACAAGAATTCTCCAACTCTATCAATAAGTACTCTAATAATAAAAATAAAAAATATTCTCACGAATGACCCAGCAAATATGTTTCCGCAAGTAAACCACATATTCCGAACCAAAGAAACTCTCTCCACACCAACAATAAAAATTCCACAAAATAAAGACTATTTACTAGAAGACGCTGACATAGACCTAAACACGACAGGTAAGAACGAAGGAAATTTCGTCATTGTAAACCCAGCGCAGAAACTTAACGTGATAGGTGCACATTTCGCAAGAATCTACAAGCAGAATGACAACGAAGGGCGCGAAGGTTTAAACAGAATTATTCTAAACGAGACTAATAAACTGGAAAACGAAATGATCCTAAATTTTCGCGAACATAAAACAATTTCCGTATTTTCGAATGAAAACAGGTCAAACAACCCGAAACAACCAGAGGATAACCTCGACTATTTTACAAATTTCACATCGTTCAAAAAAAATATTTTCCAAATTAAACAATAAAAAGTCTTCAGGTTTCGATAAGATTCCCAACATCGTATTAAAGCACCTCCCAGAGGAAATCATATGGTATTATACCGTTCTCTTCAACAACGCGTTAAGTATCTCATATTTTCCCAATAAGTGGAAAAAAGCAAAAGTAATTGCTATACCAAAGAAAGACAAAGACGGTTCCGCTCTCCCAAACTTAAGACCCATTAGCCTCTTGCCGAACATCAGTAAAGTTTTTGAAATAGTCATAAATTCACCGCTAGTTTCATTTTGTACAAGAAACAATATCATCCCAGAAAACCAATTCGGATTCAGACATAAACATTCAACCGTACACGTCATAAATAAGCTCGCCTCGGATATATGCTGGGCATTAAACGGAAATCAACGAGTGGAAGCCTGCTTAATAGATCTTGAAAAGGCATTCGATACAGTGTGGATAGCAGGAGTAATTTTCAAAGTGATCAAGGAAAACTTTTCGAAATATTTAATTAAAACAGTATGGAACATGACAGAACAAATCGTTCGTAACCTCAGAAGGCCCACTAACATCCAGTAAAGAATTCGTAATAGAAAACGGATTACAACAGGGTACCGTAAATTCTCTTATAATATTTAGTACATTCAACAACGACATCCTTAATCTATTTGAGCAAAAGTCATGGAACTAAATATCATGGAATCAATATCTTTCGCAGATGACCTTATTATATACATCACCGACAAAAAAATAAAAAAAATCCAAGTAGAATTGCAAGCATTATTCGAAAAACTACAAAATTAATCATACGTAGAAAATAAAAATCAATATAAACAATTGTAAAACGATTTTATTTTGGCAAAATTGATCAAATTTAGGTCACAACGGTAGGAAACGTTGCAAAGGCTTCAGTATAAGAGAAATGAAAGACGCGGGTGAAACCATATCCCATAAAACGTGTGTAAAGTATCTAGGAGTGCACATAGATGAAAAATTAACATTTAAAAATAACATCGAAACTCAGTTAACTACGGCTAAAAAGGCATTCTGAAAATGAAAAGATTATTCTTTGCTATTCTCTGCTACCAAACATTGGTTAGACCAATAATAACACATGGCTGCCCGATATGGTACAATATATCGGTATCCTTGATGGAAAAAATTAGAATCTTTGAAAGAAAATGCTTAAGAGCATGTCTCGGTTCGTATAGAACGGAAAGTTCAAACTACAAAAAATTTGTCAGAAATAAAAAAATGTACGACCTAGCAAACAGCCCTCGCATCGACTGCCACATTTGAAAATCGATTACAAATCACTTTGCACATTCCTCCAAAATCTTTGAAAATAGCCTCATTTTTGGTGCCTTATATCCGAATCCTATGTACTTCCAATCAACGTTGAAAACTGGATACATCCCACCGAAAGCATTTTTATACCTAGACGCAAATAATTACCTGCAAGATAATAACAACATACTAATTATATACCACGTGAATAGAAAAACACACAATAAAACCATTCTGTGTAAAGCTAACTTAAACGGACAACTTGCGAGGTTTGATAAATCCATCTTCAAAGGAGACACAGCAGGTAATCATAGAAAAGATGTAAAAAAGTACTGGTGGTTATCCGAAAGTCTAATATAATAAATAGATTTTAGGGAAATGTCTGAACGTATGACACTTTGTATACTGTAAATACTCTATATGTTGTAAATATCGTAAATATTGTAAATTTTGTAGAAGTTAACACACACCCCGACCCTTTTCCTTTTCCTTCTCCCCATTCCATGTTAAACCAATTGAAAAGAAAATGTATTATCTAGTTTTGCTAGCCTTCTCCTGGGTAAAACGAATTACTATGCAACCGCTCAAGAAAAGCTACCTCGTTTTAACAACCTTAGAATTTAAATATAAAGAAAATGATATAAAACGTAGACATAAGTAAAATTATATGACTATGTGCGTCAACAAAAAAGACCTTTAGTCTTGAGATTAAAACGCATAGCAATTGATATTCCTTCGTTTATTGGGAATCTCACAATGACGATGGCTGTACTCATTGCTGTGTTGTCCATTGTTAATCTCGCGAGAGGTAATGGACCTTCATTTTTCATTCTACATTTGCTGTAGAATACACATCTTCAGTGACCAATCTAAACAAACAGCAGCAGTGCTCTCTTGGTACATGTAATTACCTTACTGTGAATTGTAAATATCACTAGCCACAAACGCACTATACAATTGTGTCTTATTGGCTTTAATAAACAATTAAAAAAAAAGAAAGAAAGCTCTTGCTCTCGTTCGATCACCAAAGTTAAGCTTCGTTAGACGCGGATAGTACTTAGATGAGTGACGCTTGGGAACTCCGCGTGTTGTTGGCATCCTTCTTTTTTTTTTTCATTTGCCTTTCTCCTTTCCTAATTTCTCATATTCAATTTGTCGATGACATATAAAATACAGATAAAACAAGACTGCATTAACTCTGATAATAAATATTGGAACAATAAGATAAAAAGTATATCTACTAATGACACTGCAATTCTAATCGGTATAACTGCATAAACATTTAAAAAATAATTTTGAAACTTTCCTCAATTTAAGAGTGTACCAGGTAGATTTCATTGTATCATTCACTGCTCAATTGTAATGAAGATTTATAGAAGAGGACGATAGTTTCATGTATTTTGTCTACAATGTATTGCTTCGACTATCGGATTTGTGTCGGATGGCGTGTAAGATGGTTGTTGCATACTCGATACTCTTCATCGACGAAGGTGACGAGGAGCAGTACCAGTTGTTGGACCAACGATGGGAAGAGGGACTGCAGTTGCTCCGTCGTCGACAAGATCTCTTCAGTTCGGAAATGCACGACCATGCGCCTCAATGGTTTAACAGGTGCGCGAATCATTTGGTTAGGGTCTTGGGTGGATGTGCTGGAGATTGTGCATTTCCAGGAGTCGATAGAACTATGGAAGGCCCTTTTAATTGCGGCTCTGGTTTAAGGGAATCTTTGAGGATTTGGATTAAAGTATCGTTGCGACGCGAGTAATTTTGTATTTTCGTTAGGTTGTGAATCTGTGTGATTATGTAACTTTTATATTCGCGAAGATGCATAATTTCGGCCGTGGCGTATCTCTCGATCGAGTGGAAGTTATAGGAGATACGGGAGTATGCAACCTCTATTGCCTCGAATATGTACGATTGTGTCTGTACAAGGTGATAAACAATTTCATCTGTATATCGGGTATATCCAGGTGGTTATCCCTGGATAAGGATTTTTTAAATTTGTATTATAACTGATCCAATGGAGTACGATGTAAGCGGTGTGCTTTGGATCGCGGTCTTGTTGGAAATAGAAATTCCGCG